TGTGTGTGTGTGTGTGTGTGTGTGTGTGTGTGTGTGTGTGTGTGGTTGTTCTTTAATTGTCAACAACTTATCCCCTGCAGGAATGTTGCAAACTCTTTCTCCTTAATTCTCCGCGGTGCCTCGCGCCAGCTCCCATTTCCCGCTGATGAACGCGTCTGCAGGAGACAGCTCCATTATCTGTTGATCATTTATGAGAGGATTTCCTCAGACAATGGAGGCGGCCGCGCGCGCGCCCCCGCACACGGGCCTCGCTCACGACGCTTCTCTGGCCTTTCGCGAATGAATCCCGCGGCTGCGTGATAAATAGGAAACCGTGGATTTTCATCTTTAATAAGGGCGCGTTATAGGTTTTATATGAAACCTGACAATTAATGCTTAGATATTATGCTGACGTCTAAAATTGACACGCATCAGGAAAAATAAATAAATAAATTAAAACAAAAATAAATCACAAAACATTAAAGCTGGAGTCTGTCCTCAATTTTTTTTCACACTTTGGTGTCCGCTTCAAAAATGTGGACCTGTCCCCCCCCCCCCCACACACACACACACACCCTCCATTGCGCGCTCACGCCGCAACAATATAATTCCCAATGATGTTAAATAGATAGATAACATAGCTACAGACCTTCACAGAAGCTGTAAATTGAACTGGCCACAGTCATGCAGCCGCTGCAGGAGGAGGGGGGGGGGGGGGGGGGGAGGAGGGCAGAATAAATAAAGCGCAATAAAAAGGGAAATAGCCGGAGTTTAGTCGAGCCTTGAGGTATTCAAAGCGTTATTTCAATCAGTTAAGATTTAATTAGGCGAGCCCCAGGCCCTCTTTTTCTCATTACATTGCCTTTTTTTTCTCCACACACTCACTGTGCCTCAAGGTTGTCAGCATTTCACCCGCTTTTTTTTTTTAAACCAGTGGAATAATGGCGCGTTATGGCCGAAGCGGCCATAAGATTCACAAATAAATCTTTATTCCTTTATAAGGAGACGTTACAGCGAGCGGCGAAACATATCGATTCTCTTTATTTGTGACTCGTTTTCCTTTATGTTAATTTTCTTATTTTTAAATTCCTTGGGTTGTTTTTGAGAGAAGGAAAAAAGAAAGAAAGAAAGAAAGAAAGGAAAAAACGCTCAGAGCTTGTGCGGCCGAGTGCAGCAAAGTGAGACATTTCACAAGAACTGTAAAGAAGAGGACTGAGAGGGAGGTGGGCAGTGTGGACACGCGCTCGTGCACATTTTAGGCCTTTCCCCCCCCCCCTTTTTTTTTTAAATCTAAATTTTCCTCCGGGCTGTTGATGAATGCGCGCGTGTTTCCAAAACGCGCGATGACGCGCGTCTCTAAAAATCCAGTCCGGTGTGACGTAGATGTGGCTGAGGCGCAAAGAGACAAGAAAAGGAAAGAAGAAGCTGGAGACCCCCAACCCTTCCCCACCGCACCCACTGTTTTTTACATGATGGCGACCCCTTCTGGAGGCCAAAGTAAATTTGTTTATACAAGAAAAAAAAAAGAAAGAAAAATAAATAAATTATATCAGAGAGAGCGAGAGAGATCCTCCCATTATTATTATTTTGTTATTAAATAAAAATCGTCATCAGGTTCTGAAAGAATGGACGTTT